CTGTTTCGCTTTACAGTAGGACAGACGATACCGACAAACAACAAGACACTGTTCTACACGTTCTGATCCCTCGTCAGGAAAAATAATGATCCAAGTACACATTGAACTGTCTGTCTGTCTACTGCAAAAGTAAAGAAATGAAAGTTCGGTACCTTTTTCATAACCGATCGTTCCTGAGTCATGGCCTGCTGGTCTAGCTTCTGCGATTCTTTCTTGGAGAAGAACTCGTCCACCGCCTGGTTAAACGTGGCAAACTCCAGGAAGTGCTTGTTGGTGTGCTGAGCGTACAGGATGGGATGGAACTCATCGTAACTGCAGGGGTAACCCGTGTGGGAAAATAGGTAGGTATAACGAACGGTAAGTTTAAAGCCACGAGTATGTTTCATGGAGATTTCATGCACATTTATCCGTTCTGAAGCATATCTGCTATTCCTGTTGATAATATGAATATATATATATATATATATATTTATATATATAATTGTAAATTCAAATCTACATACAAGAGTTTGGGGTCTTCGGCGGACTCTGCCGTTCCGCCTTTCTTACCGGCGGCTGCTTTTTGGATAATGTAGCCCTATTCCGTGGATACAAAAATATGTTGTTGTTGATAAAACAAATCGTTGTTGATCACATAATGGTTAATTTGTTTACAACACTTATTCCTTGCATTCGACATATGTCGCACCAACGTTCACTGATTGGTTGGCTAAAAAGTGGTCATTTGCTGTTCACGGATACACATCCATTGAATACAAAGGGAAAACACACAACGATGGGAGATCCAAGGTGGCACCGGAACAAGTTGATCGGTCAAGCGGACAAATTTCTTTACGATAGTTCACGGGACAAGGATGTGTAGGCGACGAATGATTCATATAACTATATAGCCGATTCTAGGGTTTAGGGTTAGAAAAACCCTAAACCCCTACACCTTCCCGAATTCAATGTGTGTCGTGAATGTGTAAGTGTCTGCACTTGTCACATAAGTATAGCGAAGTAAGGGGTTTGGCCCTCTCAACCCAAACTAGCACGCAGGTACTAAGCCAAATCTTTCAACCTTTTAACCTTCGCAAAAGCACATTACTCTGGGTAGGTGGATGGAGCGGGCACGCGGATATACACACAACATAGAGAAGCACACCAGATGTTTACTGGAAAACTCACCCCAAAATTAAAACCAAAATAAAATAACAGAGATGTACTGATCAGGTACAGTACTGTTTAGGGTTTAGGGGTTTAGGGGTTTAGTCAGATACAAAGCTATATATGACTGACACCCAAGTATTAAAGGAAAGGCTGTATCAAACACTGAAGGAACCAATGTTGTATGACGACACTATATGACTAACAACCATCAGACTCAGAAAACGGTGTAACAAACACTGAAGGAACCAATGCTGTATGACACACTATATGACTAACAACCATCAGACTCAGAAAACGATGTAACAAACACTGAAGGAACCAAGCCTACGGCTGAAGAATCTCTGACGCGCGCTACACCTTTTAAATTTACACGCACATGATATTATATTAGGCGCTCTCGTATCATTCACCGATGTTTACAACTGGACATATGGGCACGCGCTGAGGACTTGTGTTTTTTTTGATGTATGAGTACACCAGTTGCAGGTGAGCAACGTGAACTTACTTTGAAGTCTGTGATGGATGTGGAGATCTCTTTGGCTTTCTCCAATGCGGCAAAAATCGTAGCTATATCCTGCGAACCTGAGAGTATCAGTTGATAATCGGTTTTAGATGGTACATATTATAAAGTATTAGATACACATTCACGAGTAGATTAGGGGATCGGTTGTATAGCAATCGAAACATAATATAATTCAATGAATATATATATATATATATATATATATATATACATACATACAAACGACATGTCTACCTTATGTGACTATCAGTAATTCCCTACAGACTTATTGCAGTATTCAATACCAGGGAAGCATATGTTTGTGAACAAAACGCGCCATTTTTAGCATACCTAGCATCTATCTAGATTAAAGTCCAATAACTCTGCATCCCATTGATATTGGAGTAATATGCATGATGCAACCAATACAACTCGATATACACAGCTGGTATTGCTATCTTGCATGAATCGTCAAACATAAAGACCTCCACACTGCACATACATACATATCTATTAAGCAACCCACATGCACATGAACATACATACATATGCACATGTACATGCCCACACATGCACATGTACATGCACACACACACACATGCCCATACACACACATGCACATGTAGCACGTATATATGCACATGTACATGCACACACATACACATACACACACATACACATGCACACACCTGCACATGTAGCACATGTACATACACATGTACATGCACACACATTCACATGACATGCACATACACACACATGCACATGCATACACAAGCACATGTGGCACATGTACATGCACATGTACTAGTATGTAATACATGCATATACACACACATGCACATGTAGCACATGTACATACACATGTACTTGTATGTAATACATGCACCATCTCGCGTGTTCTGTCATACCTTCATCGAGGTTAAAATCGGATACTTTGTGCATCACATTAATATCCGCCTGGCGCAAACAGTGTTCGGCAACTGGCGGGCTGAAATCTGTGGTTTTGATTGGTCAGAGTAAATTTCTATTAATAGTCGGAATGGGTAGACAGGCGGAAGAGTACACCTCCGCCAAGAAATATGCATCTGCGATCCTCTGGTTTTAGGGCTTACTGTGATACTGATAGATAAATGGTGATCCTCGTTGAATTCGAATTGGTCTTAAAATAGATACTATTTACTCAGACAGGATTGGTAAAATGACTGATGGACTCGCAAAAACTGTAATCAGTGTTTCTATTGGTAGATGTTGTTGTATTTTTAGATATACTTTTCCAGCCGGAAGGATACGCACATACGTAATAGGATAAAACGAGAGGTTGTTGCCTTACATTGGACTGTCCGTTTATATGAAAATTGGCTAACCGACGGGCGCAAACAAAGCACTACTATAAGAACGTATATCTGTGATTGTAATTGGTGGGTGATCAATACATTAATTGCACCATATCGGTAGATACGTACTAGGTTGTATATTCATATATACGTAAACGTATCTGGTGCGTGTGATACAAATAGCATTTATCAACTGTACACACCTATGAAACCGGCCAAAGCCTTCTTTAAGTTTGAGGTAGGTTGCTCACTCAGGCGAGTCCTCAGAGATTGCTCGTCAATCGCATTGAAGTTTTGTTTAGTCAACTGAAAGGTAGTAAAAAAACAGAGGTCGAAGATATGAAAACATGCATGCTACCGTTGATGAATGTAGTAGTTAGTATACGTATCAAACAGTAGACCTGTAACACAGTATACATATGCGTAAGCAAATCAATGCGGAAGCACACAGCTATACGCTAAGTTTCTGAAGACAGACCATCGCAGATACAAACCTCAATGTAATCCAGTATACAATATCATACAAGTTATGATATATATCTATATATATATGCTGTATGTCTATATGTATATGC